ACGAGGTCTGCGAGAGGGCAGGATAAACCTGTACCCGTCCTATCCCTCTGCCCCTCCTAACCCCGCTGCACCCGACCACGAGGCCTGCGAGAGGGCAGGATAAACCTGTACCCGTTCTATCCCTCTGCCCCTCCTAACCCCGCTGCACCCGACAACGAGGTCTGGGAGAAGGCAGGGTAAACCTGTACCCGTCCATTCCATCCCATCCCACAGTCCCCGCGGCCTCTCGTCGGCCAACCATGAGGGCTGTGAAAGGGTAGAATAAACATGTAATTATGATATCCTACAGCACGTGCGCCGAACCTCATGCGCCGCACCTCATCTGACCACGAGGGCTGTAAGAGGGCAGAATAAACATGTACCCATCCCGTCCCTCTGCCCTCTAGCCCCACTTCGTCCGATCAAGTCGTCTGTGAGAAGGCAGGATAAACCAGTACCCGTCCTATTCCATTCCACGTCCCTCGGGGCTACACCTCGTCCGACCACGAGGGCTGAGAGAGGGCAGGATAAACTAGTACCCATCCCATCCCTCAGCCCCCCCGGCCCTACCTCGTTCGATCATGAGGTCTGCGAGAGGGCAGGATTAATCAGTACCCATCCCATCACTCTGCCCTCTATCCTGACTTTGTCCGATCAAGACGTCTTCGAAAGGGCAGGATAAACCAGTACCCGTCCTATCCCATTCCACGGCCCTCGAGGCCCCACCTCATTTGACCACGAGGGCTGAGAGAGGGAATGATAAACCAGTACCCAACTCTCAACCCCCGTGGCCCCACCACATCGCATCAGCGGTGCAACCCCACTCAGTGGCGGGGGATACGGAGAGTGGCGCACCCTGATACCAACACTCCTCTCCCTTCGCGACCTACCCTCACCTATACTGCTGGTCTTAGATCACGCAGACCCCAGGCAGGCGTGTATCAGAGGTAGACTCCCGGTAGTGCACCCTGAGGGGCCTCCTGTAATGGGGTGGGCGTTGCGGGACAAGCTACCCGTTATGCAGCGGTCGCTCCGCCATATTGGCGAAGCGACCGCTGCACATAGACATCCCCAAATGTACATGCATTGCCTATCCTTAATTGACGTAAGAGGAGACGCAAATAAAGAAGATATTTCTTCTTCATATGCTTCCCCTCTAACGCCAAATTCTTCCCAACCTTTCCTTGTACGAAAAGGGACAAGGTACTTTCTTACAACTGGAACACAATAAACGACAGGTTACGAATCGTAACAACCTAAAACTAAAATTCGGAATTTGAACTTTAATGCCCATACAAATAGGTTACAGATTCCAGCATTCCCAGTTTACACAAGATCTGGTGAGGTTCGCGTATCAGTAGAATTGGCTAAAGAAGCAGATGTAAGATTGTCACCTAGACGAGCTCGTTTGGTCAGAAGGTAAGATACCTTTATAGGAAATATTTACAATACTAATTTTCTCCCGTGACGCCGTCGGCGTGAAATTAAAATAACAACAAAAGCAAGCCTAATTGTGCTTCCAGATGTTCTACATCCATGAAAAATTTTAGAGAGAACCATTAAGCAGTTTAGGCTACAAACTCTAACAAACATTCATCTAAACTTTCACATTTATAATATTAGTATGATTACAGATTCATGCGTTTCGTATTCTCCGATGTACTGAGGGTCCGAAGACGTGGTATGAAACTTCAAAGCGAAGGTTCCACGCATAATAATTATTATATTGTGCCTACGGTTAAAAGTAAGTTTTCATCCATATATTATATCTATACTATTATAATAAAGCGTAAACACACACTTCTTTGTTGCCTAACATGTCAGCAATTACAGCGTATTTTTGAATAATGCTTTCTTTAATAAAAGCCCTACACTTGGGTCACGCTTTAGGCTATATATATCAACGCAATTAAACTTAGGGGGTAAATATTTTGAATAAAATCCCTAATGTGGGAAAGAGACCATAAGTTGCTGCAACATCAAGGAAGCAAGATCGCCAAGGTTTGTCATATCATGTCATTTTGACATTTGCTATTGATAATTTGACATATATAAACAATACAATGAAATTTTCAAAATTACATGCGGATGAAGCCGCACGGGAACAGCTAGTCTACACTAAATACCGGATATTTTAACTTTAAAATATAAAAAAAAACATGTACAGTCAAGGGAATTCTCTGTATATCACTTACAGAAAAATTGCCTTGTTCCTTGTACAAACTCTGCTTTACAAACTTGCTTTTGCCGCGACTCCGTCTCGAGAAATTAGCATTAGCTGAGCTTGCCTTTTGCCACATTTATTTTTTACTAGCTCTAATGTTTTGTTTATTAGATGTCTTATGTAGTTCTTTTTTGTGGCAATAAAAAATCGTATGTATTGTTTTATTTATATAAAATAAAAAACAAAAGTAAGTAGCCTGTGTTCTAAACTATCCTCTACATGTATGACAATCGAGATTCGTTCAGCAGTTTAGGGTCATCACCAGCTCACTAAATGTCCCCACCGAGGGGCTCGGAGCCTACCCTAAGTAAGGATGACTAGGCCATAGTCAACCACGCTGCACTGCGGGTTGGTTGACTTCACACATATCTTGGAATTTCTTCGCCGATATGTGCAGGCATCACGATGTTTTTCACCGTAAGAACGTCGGGTAAATTATGTACATATGAAAATTCGAAAAATCGAAAATCATTGGTACAGCGGGATTCGAACCCAAGACCTGTAGATTACAAGTCAAGTGTTGAAACCACTGAGCCAACGACGCTCAGTTACGACGCAGTTTAGGATACAAAGTAACAAACATACATTAACTTTCACATTTATAATATTAGTAAGATAACTAGGTAACAGTAAATTTCTCAAACTGTACATACACCGGAAAAAATGTTTTCCTCTTGTAAGTAGAGTATTTTTTATTTTCCAGCTATAAACGAAGATGGGACCTCAAAAGTGGACATAGACTGGTCGTTCTTGGAGTTAATATTTAAACATACGGAAGAAAAGAGAAATCTCGAAGTTGAAAAGCCAATTTTCTTCCAACAAGAAGACGAAGAGGAGGAGATAGAAGAGAAGAAAGTTGAAAGCCATGGGAAGGGTAAGGACGACAAGGTAAAGAAGATGGATAATCCCCTGCTTAAGGAAGGGGAAACTTTTACTTTCGATCCAGAGAAATATAAAGAAGCCGTGGTAACGCCTTGGTATAGGAATCAAGATCAACCACAGGTGTGTTTTACTTTTTTAATGATAATTAAGCGATCCCTAAGTATAGATTCTCAAAATCTAGAACAAACAATTCCAATTAGGGACCAATTAAAAAATAAAAAAAAAACCGTGGTAGTATTTAAACGTTTGGTGCTTTACAGAAATTATTTTGCGGCAGTTAGTTGTCTTTCCCCTGGTGCAAAGGTTTTTAAATTACGTTCCCATACACAAACAAAAGAGATAACTGTATTCCTGACATGAGTGGAAGTTTATTTAACGTTAAAGTAATGTGTTAATTGTAATTTAGCGATTCCTAAGTGTAGATTGTCTACAATTTTATACATAGCAAGTCTACTTAGGAAACAACGGATCGATTAACTATAAATAAATATGGCAGTATCTATATCTACACTAATATAATAAAGCGTAAACACACACTTCTTTGTTGTCTATGATGTCAGCAATTACACCATATTTTCGAATAACTCTTTTTTTTAATAAAGCGCCCTACACTTACGTCATGCTTTAGGCTATAGTTTCACGCTATTAAACTTAGGGGGTAAATATTTTGTATAAAAAACCTAATGTGGAAAGAGACCATAAGTTGCTGCCAACATCATGGAAGCAAGATTGCCAAGTTTTGTCATGTCATGTCATTTTGACATTTGCTATTGATAATTTGACAAATGTCAACAATAAAATAAAATTTTCATAATTTCAGCAAAATTATAATAATTATATATAATAATTTTATACGATAGTTATATGAATGTCTTTCCCCTTCCAGTTCTTCCTAGTGGCGGAGATATGTTGGAACCTGACGCCGGAGTCTGCGTTCCCTTCCAACACGCACACCACCTTCAGGGACTACTACAGCAGCAAGTACGGCGTCACCCTCACGCAGCTCAACCAGCCGCTGCTGGATGTGGACCACACCAGCGCCAGGCTTAACCTGCTTACACCCAGGTGAGGGGATACAATAGGCAAAGATATAGATACTAATATTATAAAGAGAGAGAAGTAATTAAAAAACTAAGTCGAATTAAAAAACCTTTCACCACTACACAGCTATAATGTCGTGGAGTAACATAGGTTATATTTTTTAATTTCTCGTGGACAAAGTCTCGAGCAAAAGTTAGTTATAAAATGAGAATACATTATGGCATAATATCCCCATATTATTGAATAGGAAGAAGTAAAATGGGAAGGGTGTTAACACATGGTTTAATATTGGAAAGGATGTATATGAGCTAGGAAATTATGAAGAAAGTTTTAAATAGAGTGTCCGTTACCTACAGATTTAAACAAGGGTGGGAAAGATAGTGGATGGAAACAATAATGTATGGAAAGGGTAGTGTACAAAATGATTGAATGGAAAGGTTCAACGTATGAGACGTATAGACATATGATAGGAAGCGTAGAAGATATATTGGTAAACATTACATGGCAACAGTAAGGGTTGTAGATTGTAAAATCGTAGGAAGGGTAGGGACGTGGAAGGGGAGGGGACTATCCGACGTTTAAATTATCAGTCTGCCATATCTTATACAAATTACCCTTCCCAGTGTACATTAATTATATTATTTTCCAGATACGTGAACCGCAAAGGAGTAGCTCTTCCCGTGTCTTCGGAGCGCACGCGACGTGCGAAGAGAGACAGACTGGACCAAAAACAGATACTGGTGCCGGAGTTGTGCAGGGTACATCCCTTCGCTGCACCGCTGTGGTTCGCCACCGTGGCTCTACCCTGTGTATTATACAGGTAATTATAATATATACTAATATTAAGAGAAATTATTTGTATTTATGTATTTTTTTTTAATATAATGTGGCAAACGAGCAAGCGGCCTGAATCCACCAAAATGGAAAGCGACCGCTGCACATAAACATCCGCAATTGCAGCGCTGCCTACCCTTCATTGACGGAGGAGACGCACATAAAGAGGACATTTACCCTTCCTATGCGTCTCCTCCACCGTCAAATCCAGTTTTCCTTCCCATCCGTCCCTCTTAAAAAAAGGGTGGAAAGGAAAAGGGACCAAAATTAGGCTTCCGGCACCACATTCATCAGACGAGACGCGGAATTGCTCCCACTTCACGCCTGTCTTGTGTGGTCGTGGTATTTCACCGGACAAGCCGGCCCTGCAGTGCAAAGATGTAAAAGCGGGCTCTACCACTATATACATTTTTTATATATTTTCAGGATAAACGCCCTACTAATAGCCGATGAGATTCGACGCGCGGTCTCCATAGATGTAGGTTTAGGGATTCCCAAAATAGACGACACGACCTGTCCCGGCTTCCAATGGCCGCCGCTGGACTTCGGATGGAGTTTAGCTGAGGTAAATTCGACAAAATGGCGAAATAACTCCCATAGACTGTATTTGTAGATTGCCCATACTATTGTAAAGAGCAAAGATTTGGGTTTTTGTATGTATTGAAATAACTCAAAAACTACTTGACCGTTTTTAAAAATTCTTTCACCATTAAAAAGCTATGTTATCACTGAGTTACATAGGCTATGTAACTCAGTGATAACATATTACTAACTACTAAAAAAGCTATTAAAAAAAACTTTTTTTTATTTTACATAAGGTAGCAAACGTGCAAACACCGGAATTCGCCGAAAAGTCGAAGAAAGATCTGCCTAGATATACATAATTGCAGATCCGTTGTCTACTTTTGATAGAATACAAAAAGAGGATATTTCCCCTTCCTATGCGACATCGCTATCAAATTCACTTTCCCTTTCCTTATAAGAATTTGTCGGGAAGGGGAAGAGAATACTCATGTAGTATGCGGTATTACTTCTACTTCACGTATGTCGTGTGGTATGGGCTTTATTTTTATGTAGAAATTAATTTTCACTTTACAGGTTTTGAGTGCGGATTCTGAAAAAGGAGACAAGAAGAAAGGAGATTATGATGATGAAGAAGACAGTGAAAAAGAACAAACGGAATTGAGGTAAGAATTTAAAATAATCTTATTAATGTAATAAATACTAGATTTTGTATGTTTTTTTTTATAATATAAGGTGGCAAACGAGCAAGCGGCCACCTGAATCCACCGAAGTGGAAAGCGACCGCTGCCCATAAACATCCGCAATTGCAGATGCGCTGCCTACCCTTCATGGACGGAGGAGGAGACGCACATAAAAAGGATATTTCCCCTTCCTATGCGTCTCCTTCACTGTCAAATCCACATTTCCTTCCCATCCTTTCCTCTTAAGAGAAGGGTGGAAAGGGAAAGGGATAAAATTAGGCCTCCGGCACCACACTCATCAGACGAAGCGCGGAATTGAAAATGTATTATTATATGGATGTTACTTAGGTAAACAATTAGAGCTCTCCATGAAATTTAGTCTGAAAGAATATATAGACTTTGTGGCGTAAGATGTCAGCAATTACAGCATATTTTTGAATATTTTTTTTAATAAAAAGCCCTACACTTGCCTCACGCTTTAGGCTTATATTTTCACGCTATTAAACTTAAGGGTAAATATTTTGGATAAAATCCCTAACGTGGGAAAGAGACTATAAGTTGCTGCCAACATCAAGGTAGCAAGATTGCCAAGTTTTCTCATGTCATGGCATTCTGACATTTGTAATTGATAATTTAACAAATGTTAACAATAAAATAAAATTTTAATTATTTTATGCGGATGAAGCCGCCCGGGAACAGCTAGTTTTTTATAGTTCAGCGGGCGACAGCTATCATAATCTCCCCTGCCTTATCCTACTCCCGTAGGGTCGGCGCACCGGGTTTTCGTCCTCCAAAGCATTCTATCATCCGTCATCTCAGTCATCACTCCCTTCTTGATCATGTCACCTTTCACACAATCCATCCATCTCTTTCTACGCCCACCTCTACCGATGTACCCTTCCACATTCATAACTAACATCCTTCTTGTCACATGCGATTCATCCCTTCTCATAACATGCCCATACCATGCTAACCTTTTACTCCTAACCTTCTCTATTATGGGGGCTACTCTCAAACTTCCTCTAATATACTCATTTCGTATCTTATCCTACTTCGTACTTTGTAGCGGGCGACAGCTAGTTTCGACTAAATCTCGTATATCTTACTATTCTTGTTAGATGTTGTTGATGGATGTTTGTATTGTTATTGAAAAGCACAGTTATAAAACAAAATCTATAGTAACATATGGAGTACGATTTATATCTGAAAAATTTTAGGTTAAAGTTTTTTGTGTTTTACTATTGTATAGACGAAGTCGTCGACAACAGTTAGTTACATATTTAATATCACTTCTTTTTCTCATGTTTTTCGCAAAATAATTAAAATTATGTAATGGTCGCCATGTATTAATATTTTATTTTTTCTATTCCAGGGCTATAGAAGAAAAGATACAAGAGGAAGGGGATAGTGAGCCAGAGGAAGACAAGGAAAAGACAATCAATGATATATTACAAGAGAAAGAAGATGCTGAAAATGTAAGTATGGATAAAGCATTCATACTTACCATAGCCATAAACATGGCTCCTATGTAAATAGTAGTATCCCACGAATTTGAGATTTTTATCTATGTTAATCATACTAATATTATAAATGCGAAAGTTTAGATGGATGTTTGTTTGAGTTTGTAGACTAAACGGCTGAACGGATTTCCATTAAATTTGGTACTGTAGGGTATAGTCTGGAAAATTGAGAAGCAAAAGGTTAGCGTGGTATGGACATATTATGCGACGAAATGATGGGGACATAAACCAGAAAGTGTTGAGATTGAATGTGGATGGCTACAAAGGAAGAGGAAGACCGAAGAAAGTATGGATGGATTGTGTGAAGGAAGATATGCTTAAGAAAGGAGTGGATTCAGATATGACGGCTGATAGAGATGTATGGAACAGCAGCACATACTGTGCCGACCCTCCATAAGGGATAAGGGCAAGTGGATGATGAGGGTATAGTCTGGAAGAACACATAGGCTACAGTTTTGTTTTTTTAATTCCACGCGGACGGAGTCGCGAGCGAAAGCTCGTTAGAAATATTAAAAAGAGGAAAGATTTGTATTTATGGTTTTTTGTATGTATTTAAATAACTCTAAAACTACTGGGTATGTTTTAACTTTTTTTTTACCATTAATAGGCTATGTTATCGCTGAGTAACATAGGCTACGTTTTTATTATTTTTTGTTTTAATTTCATATTTTTCCAGGGGTTTGAAATCGGCACTTGGAGTAACGATATGGCATCTTGTATACCAGAGACAGTGGACTTTGATGAATATTTAGAACCTCTGCCTTCGAACCTTACTTTCTGTACTTCAGCCTCCGGTAAGTAAAGTAACTTAAGTAAATAACTTAACATTTTATTCGTAATGTTTCCGTGCGACTTCATCCGCCTATAATTATGAAAATTTTATTTTATTGTTTACATTTGTCAAATTATTAATTGCAAATGTCAAAATGATATAACAAACCTTAGCAATCTTCCTTGATGTTGGCAGCAACTTATTGTCTCTTTCTCACATTAGGGTTTTTATACAAAATATTTACCCCCTAAGTTTAATGGCGTGAAAATATATATAGTAAAGCATGACGTAAGTGTAGGGATTTTTATTAAAAAAGAGTTATTAAAAAATATGGTGTAATTGCTGACATGTTAGGCAACAAAGAAGTGTGTGTTTACGCTTTATTATAATAGTATAGACACATGTTAAAAATGTTTTTGTCGTATGGGACAATATTCTTATTTTTAGAGTTACTACATATTATTGAGAATTCAGTTTTACTTGTTAACTTTGCATATAAAATGGTAATTAGAAAGAAAATTGTGTTACAATATTTTTAATGGGTTAAAATATATTAATACTCCCCAATATATTTCGTTCAACTTGCGCTTATCCCTTACGGAGGGTCGGCACAGTATGTGCTCTTCCATACATCTATATCAGCCATATCTGAATTCACTCCTTTCTTAAGCATATTCTCACACAATCCATAATTTCTTCGGTCTTCCTCTTTGTAGCCTACATCCATATTCTCCAATATTTTTTAATTATATTAGTTTTAATAATGTATATTTTCTATTTAAAGATTGCAAGGAAATCTGCAAATCAGGTAGGTTTATAAATTTAAAGAGGCTAGAGGTCTAATTTTAGACATTCCCTTTCTGTTGTTTTTGTACAAGGAAAGGATGGAAAGGGGAAATATATTAGGCAGGGGATGGGACAAATAATGTAATATCAAAGAGGATATTGTAAGACCAGTGCGCCTCCTCCCCAGTTTATTTTACGTTTTTTTATAAAATGGAAATTTGCATGGTATATAATGAGGTGGTTTCGCTAGTTTGGTGACTTACAATAGCCGTTTGCTTGTTTATCTATTCTTAATATCATAAAGAGGAAATATTTGTATTTTTGTATGTATTAAAATAACTCAAAAACTACTGGGCCGATTTCAAAAATTCTTTCACCATTAAAAAGCTACGTTATCACTAACATAGGCTTTGTTTTTTATTGTTTTTTTTTTTAACGCAAATTTAAATGCCTTTTACATGTTTTATAGTTGTTTATTGAATACTAGCTGTTGCTCGCGACATTGTCTGCGTGAAATTAGAAAATAATAAACATAGCCTATGTTACTTACACACAAATTACCTTTCCTACGGTGAAAGAATTTTTAAAATCGACCCTGTAGTTGAGTTATTTCAATACATGCAAAAATACAAATATTTGTGTGTTTTCAGGTGGTGCAAATTGGAACTGTCCAATAGAGAAGCCGAAACAATATGGTGCTTCGAGAACATTCTCTGTAGCGGATAGTGATTGTTCTTATATGTCCAGGTGAGTTAATTTGTTTAAATTGACGAATAAAACTAGCTGTTGCTCGGGACTTCGTCCGCGTGGAATTAATTAAAAATATAGCCTATGTAACTCAAGAATTACATAGCTTCTTAATGGTTTTAAGTTATTGCAATCCATACAAAAATACAAATCTTTCCTCTTTATAATATTAGTATAGATTCTAAGTAGTTGTGTTTATTTCATATATCAATTTAATTCGACTAGTGTTTTCATATTTTTTCTGTTATATCAATTGTTAAGTAAAAAGCCTTTAGTTATTTAGTTCAAAACGTTTCTATATGTGTTGAAAACTTAACCTCGGTAACTTAATAACCTCTATAGCATCAAAAAATAATATGTTCCCTTACCATCAGAGCTCAAAACCTCTACAACATAGACCCTTGATAACTTAAAATATTTTGTGTTTCCCTTGGACTTTAACTTATAAAGTTTCTACTGTGTTTCAGTGACTTTGACACGGAAGATTCAGATATGAATTCAGAAGGAAGCGACGAGGAGACAGACGCGAGTGGATTTTGCAGCAGCAAGAATTCTAATGGTAAATAGACTTATTCTGTTCTTCTGTCTTTGCCTTTTGGTTATTTGTGGCCGAACTTTCTTGTCCTAAGTCTCTAGACATCACAAATGTTAAAGATTTGTATGTCAATGTATATTTATATAAATCAGCTTCGGAGCGTTACAAACAAACAAAGTCCTCTTTATAATATTACTATGGATTATTATAATTTTCTCATAATTGTAATTCCAGCGGCGATGGGTGTGCGTATAGAATACAAGACAGCGCACGAGGCGGAGGCGGTGGACGTGGAGCGCGCTCGCCGCGGGCCCGCGCCGCCGCAGCGCAGCGCGCAGGACGACATCCAAGACATGCATGCTCACACCGACTGGCTGAGAGACGCACAACCGCCCACACAGGTATACATTAAAGGTGTTACCGCCTGTTGAATTTTAATAGCAATGAAAAATGTTTTAAAACGCTCTTTCGTGTTAGAATTGGCAGCGCCTGTGTGATTTTAATAGCAATTTACTACATTGTTATTATACTATTGTTATAACAAATATACTATACTAGCTTTCGCCCGCGACTCCGTCCGCGTTGAATTATTAAATAATAGTGAGTAGCTTATGTGTTCTACCAGACTAAGCTTTAAACCTGTGTCAAATTTCATGAAGATCCGTTCAGCCGTTTAGGCTACAAACGCTAACAAACATCCATCCATCCATCGTAACTTTCGCATTTATAATATTTATATGATTGTTATAACAATTCTACAAACGATAACACTAGACAATTTAACAACAAAACAACAATTCTAGACATTCAATTCAACACAACAATTCTAGAATGAGTGTTTCTAGAATTATCAGTGCCTGGGTAATTTTAATAGCAATTTCCTACATTGTTAGTGTTACCGCCTGTAGGATTTTTATAGCAATGAAATACTTTCTAAACTTATCAGCGCCTGGGTAATTTTAATAGCAATTTTAGTACTTTATTTTGTAATAGCAGGTGCACACCTTTGACGAAACTATGGCATAGCTGTTGTACGAGTTTCGTTTGTTTCGCACAACTTATTATCTAAAATTAAATTAATTGTGTATTATTTTCAGTATATTGAAAAGTTTCGAGAATCCGTCAAACAACATGAAAAGGATATAATAAACAATGAACTACTTATAGAAAAAGATAAACCGATTATCGATTTATTACCCGATGTATCGAAAGACATCGATAAGAAAACATCGAAATCGATTGAAAATATCGATATTTCAGAAATATTTCCATACACTAATGATGAAATAATAATAGAAAACGGTCAAATAACAATAGATAGCATAGAAAAGAATAAACGTCGTCTTCTAGAAGGATTAAAGAAGAACTTACTTCTAGAAGATGTGAAGAAGATGAATTGTTTCTCGATGAAAGATGTTAATATCGATTCTCCAGATTATGTTAATGAGAAATTAGTGAATGTTGGTTTTGATAGTAAAGATAGCTACAAAGAGAAAATAGACAAATGGAAACAAAATGATTTGAAACCTTATTATCAAGACGTTAAGGTTCAAGATGGTTTTGATTTTGATTATCAACCCGAATTAGACGGACATCCGGGGCCGAGTCCTAGTGTTATTTTACAGGTAAATTTCACTACTATAGTGTGTCTAAATAATTTAGATTAGTTTGACAATTCATTTCAAATTTAGTAGGGATTGGTTGTGTAAAATCAGTCATGAATCTTATCGATTTTCGATTTTTGTTATAGAAGTTTGAATCGATAGATTTAAAGTTATAACTTAGGAATTTAAAAAAGACTGTTTTCTCAAATTAAAAATGACCATAACAATTAGTGAGAGTAAATAAATGTCTATTACTACAGCCGTACGTAATCGAATTGGATTTCCCTATTATTTCTGTCATCTCTAAATTCTCTACACTATAATCAATACTAGAATTGTCCTATAAATTAGTTATTAAGAAAATAAAAATTTTAGTTGAGTTCGATAATTATTTAAACCGAATATCGATAGTTCATCATTGTTCGCTGCGTGTTTCGTCACTACGATACCTGTCTATTAAGTATGGCATTTGTCTTCATACAAATTGAATTAGATACTTCATCATCATCATCATCATCATCATCTCCATCTCCTTATCCTTACTCCCGTAGGGTGGGCGCATCAGGTTTTTGTTCTCCACATAACTCTATCATACGTCATCTCAGTCATCACTCCCTTCATCATGTCACCTTTTACACAATCCATCCATCTCTTTCTATGTCTACCTCTACCGATGTACCTCCACACTCATAACTAACGTTCTTGTCACATGCGATTCATCCCTCCTCATAACATGCCCATACCATGCTAACCTTTTACTCCTAACCTTCTCTACTACGGGGGCTACTCTCAAACTTCCTCTAATATACTCATTTCGTATCTTATCCATTCGTGTTACCACACATCCATCTTAACATTCGCATTTCTGTCACATGTAGTCTCCTTTCATCCTTTAGCTTTTTCGTCGCCAAAGACATTTAAAACATATAGAGTAGGCATACTTGACACTTTACTTAAAAACATTTTTCAAAAAATGTCACTAACGCTATTTATTACAATTTCCAGGCGTTAACAATGTCGAATGCTAACGACGGCATCAATTTGGAGCGTCTAGAGACGATAGGAGACAGTTTCCTGAAGTTCGCGATAACTGCGTATTTGTACTGCGCACATCCTACAGTACATGAGGGGAAATTGAGTCATATGAGAAGTAAACAGGTATGTTAAAAACAATTATAATATAGATATGTGGGGTTGTGGCTCGATCAAAATAAAATAAACTTGTAATTTATTGCTACTTTAATATTTACACTTCTTTCCAAAATACATCTTTATACATCGTCGTTCCATTTTTTTCTCTCAACCTTAAACTAATTTTAAACCAACGTCAAAATATAAAATTCGAAATCAATTAAAAAGAAAACATATTAAAAAGAAACACATTTAACCTCTTTATAACCTCTTTATCCTACAGATATATCTTACTAATATTATAAATGCGAAAGTTTAGATGGATGGATGGATGGATGTTAGAGTTTTTAGCCTAAACTTCTGAACGGATTTCGATGAAATTTTGGTATAGTTGTAGAGCATAGTCTGGAAGAACACATAGACAACTCACTTAATGAAGTTAAAAGGTATGTGACACTCGTGACACTGGGATTTAAAAAATCAAAAGTGAGTATGTGTTCTTCTAGACTGTTCTATATATATGACAAATAACGAGATCTGTTCAGATGTTTAGGATACAAACTCTAACAAACATCCAATCTTACGCATTTATAATTTGTACTAATATTGTAAAGAGGAAAGATTTGTATTTTTGTATGTATCGAAATTACTCAAAAACTACTGGACCGATTTCAAAAATTCTTACACCATTATAAAGCTACGTTATCACTAAGTAATATAGGCTACGCTTTTTAATTTTTTTTTTATTTTGAAACTGAAGAATTCGCCATTAACTATTGTTATAAATTTTGATACGAATGACTTTTTAAAAAATATGACAGTCGAGCGATAATATGAGGAATACTGGTGAATTGTTATAAAACGAATACACTAAGGCAACTACGTAAGATATCGAACGTTCCGTGGCGACGACTAGAAATGTACTGAGCTACTGAGCTCCTGAGCGACTGAGTGCAACTGAGGTACTGACGGCTTGTTAGCGACTGAGCGACTGAGTGCAACTGAGGTACTGACGGCTTGTTAGCGACTGAGCGACTGAGTGCAACTGAGGACTAAGCGACTAAAGGCGCCTCACTACTTCCGTTTCTATTATTTTGTAACACTATAGTATTTACAGTAACATGTATTTTAGGTATCAAACTTGAACCTATACCGGCTGGGGCGCGGTAAGAGGCTGGGCGCGCGCATGACGGCCTCCAAGTTCGAGCCGCACGACAACTGGCTGCCGCCCTGCCACCGCGCGCCGCACACGCTGCACCACAAACAGGTCATAATACTAATATCTATACTATTATAATAAAGCGTAAACACTCACTTCTTTGTTGCCTAAGATGTCAGCAATTACACCATATTTTTCAATAATTCTTTTTGTAATAAAAAACCCTACACTTACGTCACGCTTTAGACTATATATTTTCACGCAACTAAACTTAGTGGGTAAATATTTTGCATAAAAACCCTAATGTGGGAAAGAGACCATAAGTTGCTGCCAACATCAAGGAAGCAAAATTGCCATGGTTTGTCATGTGATGTTACTTTGATAACAATGAAATAGAATTTTCAAAATTTCATGCGGGTGAAGCCGCACGGGCACAGCTAGTATATGATATATTAATAGAAAAATAAAAGTAGTAAAATTAAATAAAAAAACGATAACCACACAGAAAACAGGCGTGAAGTGGAAGCAATTCCGCGTACAGTCTGATGAGTGTGGTGCCGGAGGACTCGTTTCCCTTTTCCTTTCTACCCTTTTCTTAAGAGAAAAGGATGGGAGGGAAAAGTGGATTTGACGGTGGAGGAGATGCATAGGAATGGGAAATGTACTCTTTATGTGCGTCTCCTCCTCCGTCAATAAGGGTAGGCAGCGCATCTGCAATTGCGGATGTTTATGTGCAGTCGCTTTCCATTTCGGTGGATTCAGGTGACCGCTTGCTCGTTTGACACCTTATGTTATAAAAAAAAATATATATTCTTTATTTTTTTTTTCTTTAATAAAAAGCCCTACACTTAAGACTTACGACTACTATATATTCTTACGTTATTAAACTTGGGAGTATATAACATGGAAAACTAGAAAGTGTTTAGATTCAATGTGAACTACAAAGGTAGAGGAAGACAGAAGAAATTATGAATTGTGTGAAAGAGGATATGCTTAAGAAAGGAGTGGATTCAGATATGATAGAGATGTATGGAGCACATACTGTGCCGCCCCGATAAGGGATAAGGATAAGTGGATGATGAATATATAATATGGAAAAAGAATCAAAAAAACACTAAAGTGAGTAGTATATGTGTTCTTCCAGACTATCCTCTACTATACCAAATTTCATCGAAATCCGTTCATCAGTTTAGGCTACAAACTAACAAATAAACATCTAATCATTTGCATTTATAATATAAGTATGATTGTATTTTTCAGCCGGAAGTTCAAGAACAAGCAATGGGTGACGGTGCCGTAGATAATGCGGGATGTTTTATACCATATAATTTGATCACACAACATAGTATACCAGGTAAGGATTTTTCTTATGTTCAGAATAACTTGAATTTTATCAAAATGACATGACATGACAAACCATGGCAACCTTGCTCCCTTGATGTTGGCAGCAACTTATGGTCTCTTTCCCACATTAGGGTTTTTATACAAAATATTTACCCCTAAGTTTAATGGCGTGAAAATATATAGCCTAAAGCGTGACGTAAGTGTAGGGGTTTTTATTAAAGAAATAATTATTAAAAAATATGCTGTAATTGCTGACATCTTAGACAACAAAGAAGTGTGTTTACGCTTTATTATAATAGTAAAGATAATAGTTGGTAGCTCCTTTATTTCTATTGCACCAGAGGCCTGTTCTGTCTTCCTAAACCCTGTTTCCCCCCATAAGGAAGGGTATCTTTTAGATTTCCCTCCAGATGCAAGGCTGTAGTCATTTTTTTTTCAGATAAATCGATAGCAGATTGTGTGGAAGCACTAATTGGTGCGTATCTACTGGAGTGTGGTCCGCGAGGCGCGCTACTGTTCATGTCGTGGCTCGGCATACGAGTGTTGCCCCGACACGATATACTGATAGAGGATAACCATCCTTATGTTGTAGCACATAAGGATAATACTCCTGTGCTTGAGGTGAGTGTTTTGGATTCTAAATTTGCGTTTTATATCACAGTTCTAGCTTTCGCCCGTATTCCGTCCGCGTGGAATTAAAAAAAAATAAAAGTGAGTAGCCTATGTGTTCTTCCAGACTATCCTCTACATCTATGCCAAATTTCATCGAAATCCGTTCAGCCGTTTAGGCAACAAACTCTAACAAACATCCATCTAAACTTTCGCATTTATAATATTAGTAAGATTAATATGTGTAGTGCCAGTTACTGTTTTTTACTTTTTTATCTATACTATTATAATAAAGCGTAAACACACACTTCTTTGTTGCCAAGATGTCAGCAATTACACCATATTTTTGAATATATTTTTTTAAATAAAGAGACCTACACTTAACTCACGCTTTAGACTATATATTTTCACGTTATTAAACTTAGGGGTTAATATTTTGGATAAAATACCTAATGTGGGAAAGAGACCATAAGTTGCTGCCAACATAAAGAAAGCAAAATTGTAATACTTTGTCATCATGTTATTTTGGCATTTGCAATTAATAATTTGACACATGTAAACAATAAAACATTTTTTTTAATAATTTCAAGCGGATGAAGTCGCACGGTAACAGATAGTTTTAATGTAATTTTCTTGTAGAAATCACCATCACCACCGACTAAGCGTCAGCAACGTACGTCAGAGTCAGATTCTGACTTCGATGATGATGATGATGAGGAAGACGCAGGAGATCAGATCCAGCTGGAGCTCGGTCCCGAGGACTGGAGCTGGGCGGGGCGCGCTGTCGGCTCTCTTAAACCTTATAAGAAGAATGGTGTTTGGTATCAGGTAAGAATTTTCTTTACTAAAATCAAAGATAATGAACTTTTTTTTCTACTGGCACTTTCTCTGAAAGGTACAATATCAGTTTTCAAGTTTAGTGCCGTCTCTTGTCTTTGTAAAATTATAATAAACTCTAGATCAAAATAATTTTCTATTTCGTAAAATATTTCGTGAATTCTTTGTATCAGTTTATCTATACTAATGTTATATAGATGAAAGATTTTGATGTTTGTATGTTTTTGATAAAAAAAAAAATTACTTAACCGATTTTTAAAATTCTTTCAACATTTGAAAGGTAATTTATCTGCGAGTGACATAGGCTATGTTTTGCGCAAGCAAAGTCGCGTGCAACAGCTAGTTTTAAATATTAAATATGTAGTTTTAACAATATATCAACATATGTGATAATTATAAAAATCAAATTGGTCTGTCCCACCAAATTGTAAACTGTCTGATAACAATCCAACTTGTTCCCTTATCTGACAGTGACGTCATAAGTTATCTGAGCCTCTATCAGTCAGTGGTTGGACAGCGCCTTACTATCTTATATAAATAATTTGTCTTACTCTCTTTTTCTCCTCGATCACTGGCTTGCGCTGACGAGTTGACGCATGCCAGCTACATCGCTCTATGTGTTTAAATCTTTTTGATTTCTATAAAACAACTATCTGACAGATTTCAAATGTCTTTTTTCTTATAATTTCAGCCTATCTTCGGAGAACTGAGAGCTCCGCCTTCACCACTTTTAAGATATATTGAAGATCCTGAAGGAGAATTAGAACAGATGCTTTCTGGTATGTTTATTATTTTATACTAGCTTTCGCCCGCGACTCCGTCCGCGTTGAAAAAAAGTAAATAGCCTACGTGTTCCAGACTATCCTCTACGTCTTTGCTAAATTTCATCGAGATTCGTTCAGCCGTTTACGCTACAAACTCTAACAAACATCCATCCATCTAAACTTTCGTACCAATACCACGATCACACACATCTATCAAAACAGGTGTGAAGTGGAAACAATTCCGTGTACAGTCTGATGAGTGCGGTGCCGGAGACGTGATTTATTCCCTTTCCCTTTCTACCCTTTTCTTAAGAGAAAAGGATGGGAAGGAAAAGGGGAAATGTCCTCTTTATGTGCGTCTCCTCCGTCAATGAAGGGTAGACAGCGCTGCAATTGCGGATGTTTATGTGCAGCGGTCGCTTTCTATTTCGGTGGATTCAGGCCGCTTGCTCGTTTGCCACATTATGTTATAAAAAAAACACCATTCTCGATGTCATTTCGAATATTCCAGACATCTTTTCGCTGCGATCGAACATTTTGGAAACGGCTGTCTAAATTATTCTACGGATATGAATTCCGCTACTCACAAATACATGACGTCGCGACAATAATTTTCAAAAATTTAAAAATAACCTAACGGTAACAAGGTTGCTGCATTAGCGACAGCAGCAGGTACCTGAAGGGCCCCCTCCTCGGGGGTATAAAAAAAGACAATAATTTTCGTTTAAATGATAGTATGAGGTCCCCTACCTCCAGAAAACCGTTAATCCGTTAAGAATCACCCTGTATATATCCCTGTGTACCCCAGGGTATGAATCCCTGGAGCGCACGCTGCAGTACCGGTTCCGGGACCGCTCGCTGCTGCTGCAGTCGCTGACGCACGCCTCGCACCACACCAACAGGCTGACTGACTGCTACCAGCGACTGGAGTTCCTGGGTGACGCTATACTGGGTACGTATACACTAATACTAGCTGTTCCCGTGCGACTTTATCCGCATTATTATGAAATTTTATTTTATTGTTTATATTTGTCAAATTATTAATAACAAATGTCAAAATGACATGATGATGACAATCTTGGCAGCAACTTATGGTCTCTTTCCCACATGAAGGTTTTTTTCCAATTTATTCATCCCCCAAGTTTAAAAGCGAGAAAATATATAGCCTAAAGCATATCGTAAGTGTGAGGTTTTTAAGTAAAGAAAGATTTATTCAAAAATATGCTGTAATTGCTGACATCTTAGGCCACAAAGTAGTGTGTGTTTATGCTTTTTTATATTAGTATTTTAGTATAGATTTTAAAGAGGAAAGATTTTTTTTTTTCGAAAAAAAGGAAAGATTTGTGTTTTCGATTTGATTCAAAACTACTGGCCCGATTTTAAAAATTCCTTCACCATTACAAAGGTGACTTAATTGTGAGTAACATAGGCTACATTTTGTATTATTTTTTAATTACACGCGGGCGAAATTGCGAGCAACAGCTAGTATATTATAAAAGGAAAGTTGTTTTGTATTGAAATTAAAAATATTTCAAAAAATATTTCACAAATAGCTACATTATCTCTACATATAATACAACTAGCTGTTGCCCGCGACTTCGTCCGCGTGTTATTAGAAAACATACGAACTATATAAATAACAAAAAGCTACGTATCCTGGGCACCGAACATTTCTCGGGGATGAACTTTATCCCATGTGTACTCCAGACTTTGTTTTATATCTGTGACAAATTTCAATAAGATATGTTGAACCGTTGCAGAATGATCGAGTAAACATTATAAAATTAAATTAATGAATCCCACTGGAACCGTAACTATTCCAGGGATAAAAAGTAGCCTATGTGTTCTTCCAGACTATGCTTTAAACCTGTGCCAAATTTTATGGAGATCCGTTCAGCAGTTTAGGCTACAAACGCTAACAAACATCCATCCATCGTAACTTTCGCATTTGTAGTATTTATATGATTGGAGTGTCTGTAATATCAAAGGAAATAAATCCAGATTTCGAGAAGATGATGTATTTGCGTTGCTAATAACAAAAATTGCATTTAAACAATTTTTGTCTGTCTGTATGTCCGCAAGCCGTTTAATATCTATGTTTATTACATTTCCAGATTATCTAATAACAAGACATTTGTACGAGGACGCGAGGCGACATTCTCCGGGCGCGCTCACAGACCTCAGATCAGCGTTAGTTAACAACACGATATTCGCCACATTAGCGGCAAGGCATGGATTCCACAAGTATGTATAAACACAACTGATGTTACTCTTTATTAACTGTGACTGTTAACTGATTTGTTGCCGTCTAACGATCGTTTGTTTAATCTTAGAGCAGGACCCTCGCGATACCCTCACATATAAAAAAATAAACTATATTTTTCAACTCCATGTATACATGATTGTTGGATTTTAAATCAATCATTTTTTTTTTCTCATTTTAATTTTTTTTTCTAATACGTGGTGGCAAACGAGCAAGCGGCCTGAATCCACCGAAATGGAAAGCGATCGCAGCCCATAAATATCCGCAATTGCAGCGCTGCCTACCCTAATTGACGGAGGAGGAGACGCACATAAAGAGGACATTTCCTCTTCCTATGCGTCTCCTCCACCGTCAAATCCACTTTTCCCTCCCATCCTTTCCTCTTAAGAAAAGGGTGGAAAGGAAAAGGGACTAAAATTAGTCCTCCGGCACCACACTCATCAGACTGTACGCGGAATTGCTTCCACTTCACGCCTGTTTTCTGTGTGGTCGTGGTATTCCACCGGGCGAGTCGGCCCTGCAGTGCGAAGATGTTAAAGCGGGCTCTACCACTGTTTGGTAGAGCATCACAATTGGTATAGCTTTCGCCCGCGATTCCGCGTGGATTATAAATGTAGGATATGTCTTCCAGACTATAACTGTATATATAATAGGCAGTTTTACAATGGTAGTCCGCTTTAACATCTTAGCACTGCAAGGTCGGCAAAATTGAAGATCTATTAGCGCCCCCATTTTTATACAATTTCAGTGAAATTTAAAGTACTATTATAAAATAAATGAAATTACAATTTATCCATCGCCCCCTAACCCATCTCGACGACTATTTTTTTTAAATAATTTAAAATAACGCCCCATCAAACATTCATCCATCTAAACTTTCACATTTATAATATTAGTAAGATAAGAAAATTAGAGTTTGTATCCTAAACTGCAGACCGGATCTCTATGTTTGTCATAAATGTATAGTCTGAACACATAGTATACATAGTTTTTTTTATTCAATTTCGCACAAACGGAGTCGCGGGCAGAACCTGGTTTACATCTATTTTACCTGATATAAAAAATTACATGTTTAGAGATGTAATAAAGATTTTAGAGTCAAGTGGGTTTTTAAATCCTCGTTTAAGTTAAAAATTCATGTTTTTTCATTATTTTTCACTAGTTAATTTTATTTTGTATATTTTTCCAGATATTTTCGACACATGTCGCCCGGTTTGAACGAAGTTTTGACGAAATATGTCAAAATACAAGAAGAAAATGGTCATTCTATCAGCGAAGAGGTAAATATCCATCTAATATTATAAATGCGAAAGTTTAGATGGATGTTTGTTAGAGTTTGTAATTTCATTTTTTTATGTAGAATGTTAAATTTTACTTAAATTGTATAAAAATGGGGTGAGCTGAAAAAACCATTGATTTACAAAGGGGGGCGGCAAAAGAAATAAGTTTTATATACACTAATTTAGAGGATTGTCTGGTAGAACACATAGGCTATTTGTTTTTGTTTTTTTTCATATAGTCCAAACAATGTTCTCGAAAATAGGGATCTATTTTCAGAATAATCTAAGTTCTCTGTCAAGTCGCTTGGCGGCGTTCGTGTTCTAATTACGACTCAAATTCAAATTGATTTCTTCTGATTGCGACATGTATATATTTATTTCTTTCTTCCAGCATTATTTAATACATGAAGATGAGATGGAACAAGCAGAAGATGTGGAGGTTCCGAAAGCTTTGGGAGACCTTTTTGAATCTATCGCTGGAGCTATATTTCTAGATTCAGGTATAAACAAATCTTACTAATATTATAAACTAGCCTTCACCCGCGACTCCGTCCGCGTGGAATTAAACAATAATAAATATAAGTAAATAAATGAATAGGATTTTTATTGCCACAAAAAAGCTACATAAGACATCTAATATTTTTTTACTAAAAACGTATCCTATGTTACTCAGTGATATCGTAGCTTGTTTAATGGTGAAAGAATTTTCTCATTTTCAATACATAAAAAAATAAAATCTTTGTAATCTGTACTATTTTAATAAAGGGTAAACACACACTTCTTTGTTGCCTAATATGTCAGTAATTATAGCATATTTTTGAATAATTCATTATATAATAAAAAGCCCTACACATACGTCACGCTTTAGGCTATATATTTTCACGCCGTTAAACTTAGGGGTAAACATTTTGGATAAAAACCCTAATATAGGAAAAAGAAAATAAGTTGTTGCCAATATCAAGGAAGCAAAGTGGTCATCATGTCATGTCATTTTGACATTTGTAATTGATAATTTGAGAAATGTATAAAAAAGAGTAAAATATTTTTTTTTAATAATTTCATGCGGATGAAGCCGCAAGGGAACAGCTAGTGTGAATGTATGAATATGTATTTATTGCCACAAAATAGAAATTACATAAAAGGACTTATTCTAAAGAATACAATCGTGGCAAAAGGTAGCCAGCTCAGCGTATGCAGGACGGACTAAGCCGTTCCTGCGCTGATTTTCAGCTGGTCCCTTCGCACTCAACTAACATATAGCTTAATTATTAGGGTAGCCGGCCGTATTAATTATGTATATATATACAGAAATAAAAAAATACACTTTTAAAAAGAAAAAAAATCACATTAAACAAAAATGGGACATCATAAAAAAAATGTTTAATATTGTTTTAATAGAAACAAATAAAAACAATCATACTAAATTAAAAGGAGGATGATGAAATATATAAGTAAGATGTACTGTATCTCTTCAGGGATGTCTCTGGGAGCGGTGTGGCGGTCGTACGTGCGGCTGATGGGTGCGGAGCTGGAGGCGTTCAGTGCGGCCGCGCCCAAGTCGCCCGTCAGAGAGCTGCTCGAAGCTGAACCCGATACCGCCAAGTTTGGGTAAGTCCGACTCGATGGACCAATTATTTCTATCTATACTGCTAATAAAACGTAAACACATACTTCTTTGTTATGTATTTTGATGCAGGAGCCTAGTTTAATCCCTTTCCCTTCTTGTCATATATCATAAGGTGACAGACGAGCAAGCGTTCGAATCCACCGAAATGTAAAGCGACCGCTGCACATAAACATCCGCAATTGCAGCGCTGCCTACCCTTCATTGACGGAGGAGACGCACATAAAGAGGATATTTCCTCTTATGCGTCTCCTCTACCGTCAAATTCACGTTTCCTTTCCATCCTATTCCTAAGAAAAGGGTGGAAAAGGTAGGGACTAAAATGAGTCCTCCGGCACCACAGTCATCAGTACGCGGAATTGCTTCCACTTCACGCCTGTCGTGGTATTGCTGAGAGCCTGCATTGCGAAGATGTTAAAGAGGGCTCTACCAATGTTAAAGTAGTTAAAATAATATATTACATCAACACAAAATATGTACTGTAAACGTGAGAATTAAAATTTTAAAATATCAATAAAGACCAAATTCGAATTTAACTCGCCCGAAATTTTGTTCATTTCCAACTTTTATTTGACGTTTTCAAATATATATTTCTATTACTTTGTGTCTTATTGTTCGCTTTTTATTATCATGTTTTAACTAAGTTTTAAAAAAGTTAAAAGCTTATGTATAAGTGTCCTCTACATCTATGACAATCATCGAAATCTGTTCATCAGTTTAGCATACAAACATCCATCCATTCATCCATCTATCCATCCATCCATCCATTCATTCATTCATTCATTCATTCATCCATCCATCCATCCATCCATCCATCCATCCATCCATCCATCCATTCATCTATCCATCCATCCATCCATCCATCCATCCATCCATCCATCCAAACTTTCAAATTGATAACAAGTTTTGTATGTATATTTCAGTAAACCAGAACGTCTCGCGGACGGTCGTCGTGTCCGCGTGTGTGTGGAGGTGTTCGGTCGCGGCGCGTTCAAGGGGGTAGGCAGAAACTATCGCATCGCTAAAGGTACCGCAGCGCGATGTGCGTTACGACATCTTAAAATACATAGAACCAGGTAGATAAAATATAAGGATTATTCCCAACCGTCACCCCGATCTGTCCCCACCTGAGAATTAAGTCATCCGTTCCACCTTTTGCGACGAGGGGACGGTTGACACTTTTTATTGCTCAACGGCCCCATCTGTCATCTTATTGGTGATAGTGGGACTAAAAGGTGGGACGGATGAAGCTTATACTCACGTGGGGACAACGCGTGGTGACGGTTGGGAATAATCCGAATATAAAACAACATATTAAAATAGAAGTATATAAGCAAATATGATTTATGCCCGGTTTCCCAGTTACTTTTTTAATGTTTTTGATTTAATTTCATGAAATGACTTTCCTAAAGTAATTTAAGTTTTTCTCTGTTGATATTTCGTTCAACTTAACACTGTTAAATTACTAAGCAATGATAATGGAAACTTCAGAAACCCAGCATAAGTCCAATTTTTAAACTAACTAGGTTTAAAAATTGTGTTTAAGCGTGTTTGCTTTTATATCCAAATTTCGTGGATATATACAAATATTGTAAAGAATGATATATTTGTATTTTTATATGTATTGAACAAACCTGAGCATATAAAGATTTATTATTACTGATTGTTATAGTATATATTTTATTGTTTTAATCATGTAAAGTCGCTGACAAAAGCTAGTATATGATGTGCTAATTTTTATTTAAACCATAACTGATACTATACTCCAATAGTTTATTCAAAATGCCTTAAAATTAATTAGAGAATTATATTTATAAGTAAATAATGACCTACGATAAGTCCCTTTCTCTTTACCACCCTTTTCTTATAAGAGCATGGGAAGAGGAAGTGGATTTGACAATGGAGGAGACGCATAGGAAGGGGAAATATCCTCTTTATGTGCGTCTCCGTCAATGAAGGGTAGGCAGCGCTGCAATAACGGATATTTATGTGCAGTCGCTTTCCATTTCGGTGGATTCAGGTGACCGCTTGCTCGTTTGCCACATATGTTATAAAAAAAATGTTTTTTTTGTATATTATTTATTAAAATATCTGTCCTCATCAATTGTAAAGAAATATGAATTTATAACATTATATATTGTTTTTATAAATAAATGTTCCGAACCCTTCAACAAATAAAGTTATATTTTACATGTGAATAAATAAGATTGAATTTATTTCGTACTGGCTGTAAAAAAAATATTTTATTGTTCACATTTGTCAAATTGTCAATTGCAAATGTCAAAATGACATGACATGACAAACCTTGGCAACCTTGCTTCCTTGATGTTGCAGCAACTTATGGTCTCTTTCCCACATTAGGGATTTTATACAAAATATTTACCCCTAAGTTTAATAGCGTCAAAGTATATAGCCTAAAGCGTTATGTAGGGCGCTTTATTAAAAAAAGAGTTATTCAAAAATATACTGTAATTGCTAACATCTTAGGCAACAAAGAAGTGTGTTTACGCTTTATTATAATAGTATAGATAGTATGATTTGTATTTTTGTATGTATTGAAATAACTCAAAAACTGGTCCGATTTCACAAATTCTTGCACCATTGAAAAGCTACGTTACTACTTAGTAACATAGGCTATGTTTGTTTACCTATTTTTTTGTAATTCAAAGTGGACGAAGTCGCGTGCAACAGCTAGTATTCACATATTTATTGTAAGATGTAACTTTATTTGTTGTTAATACGAATAAAATCTGTATATTTATGGCCGTAATATATTATTTTATATACGAATAATCAACTAAAAAGGTGAATATATTTTTAAATCATTTACAATTCAAAATCAAATATAATTTGTACCATAAGTTAAATTAAGTGATATTAAGTTATTTTTTGTATATCTTAGTCCAGTCTTAATAAATTTATAACTTAAGTGTATAAAAATACTAACGTATGAAATATGAAACGAATTCCTATGAAGAAAGTGATTTTAATAGTTTTTAGAAATTCAACCAGAACTTAATTTTTTTCATATTCTTAAACTATGCTATATAACTGAAAAATACTGAAACCAATTCTATTTATTTATATGCCAGGGGACAGGACTTAAAATCTTTATATAAAGAAGGGGAATGATTTATATTTTTGTATGTATTGAAATAACTTAAAAAAACTATTTTTCCGATTTCAAAATTTTTAACCATTAAAAAACTAAGTTATCTACATAGATTTTTTTTATTATTTTTTTAATTTCGCGCGTGTCAAGTCGCGTGCTACAGTTAGTTAATATACAACTAATGCCAAAATACTAAAACTCCAATTTCTATACACCCTCTGAAATAACTTAAAAAAAATAGTTTTTTTATTTAAAAAAATTGGACCATGTTTTGATAAACATTCTATTTTATAATAAAAAAGTAACTATTAGTCCTCCCCATTGTCATCCCTTTATTATAACACCTAAGAATAAGGGTTGATATCTGTCCTTATCGAATGAATTATATAAAATTATTAAATTCAGTTAGTCCCCTTTCCCTTTCCACCCTTTTCTTAAGAGGAAAGTATGGGAAGGAAAAGTGGATTTGACGGTGGAGATGCATAGGAACGGGAAATGTCCTCTTTATGTGCGTCTCCTCCGTCAATGAAGGGTAGGCAGCGCTGCAATAGTGGATGTCTTCGGTGGATTCAGGCCGCTTGCTCGTTTGCCACATTAATGTTATAAAAAAAAATTAAACCAAGATATATTTAATATAGATAATAAGAAAAGATATATATACCTTCAAATATCTGAAGGAAGTGATTTCGTATTTTCTATTATCTAAATAAGAATTTAAAAAATCTTTTGTGTTTACCATTGGTTAAAATATACAAGCTTTTGCCCGCGCTTCCTTACGGCATTAAAAAAAAACAAAAAGAACCTATGTATTTTCAGTAATTTAAGGTACAAAGAAACAAAAATCCATACAATCTTGTACATTTATAATATTACTAAGATAGATGGATTGTATACAAGTTTGTCGAAACCAGAGTTTGTTTTCCAACTCATGTTTGTAATGTCAAAAGACTAAAAAAAAAAAGAAAAACGTCATCTGTCACTTTTGACAGGACAAGTGGTTCTGAAAAAAACGTTGATTCATTATTTTCGCTGAGGCTTGAGTTTTCCATTATTATTGTTCCGATGTGGAAGTGTTGCTTCTACATGAGGCAGCGTAGTTGAAGGAGTGTGCTTGGGTTCGGAGTATCTGGTGCATAGAAGTTTTTGAAGCAGCCGAAAGCAGCTGATGGACTGAACCCAGCTGATGTGCTTGTTTGTAAGCGAGAATAATGCGATATCTGTACTATTATAATGAAACGTAAACACACGGAGTCACGGGTGAAAGCTTGTAGGATATATATCTATGACACTCTTGTAGAACAAAATTTATGTAATCTAAAAAATATTAATAATTGTAAACTGGTTATCGACTAATCATGTGCACATAAAGTGGCGAACATATAGTTAAAATTTTACAGCCCATGTTAATGCGGGTAGTCTGAATTTTTATTCTCCCCACTAGTGGGTAGTTTTAAATCTCTAGTACGGTCGGGCGTGGGCATAGAGATTAAAAGGTTATATAGAGGAGGCGGAAGCAATCTGGTGATCACACAAGGTACCATCCTAGTTTGGACACCAGTCCCCTACCTAAAGGGGATATTTAAGTTATTTTTTATATTTTTAAGTCGCCATTTTACTATTTTTCACATATAAAACCAAATGTCAATATAATATATTGTATTTAAATTAATTGCCAATAGATGTCGTTTAATAATATTTTATATTGTAACACTGTTTAGTTTATTTTATAACAGATGGAGCTTTACAATTTTGTAAAATGTTTTATTACATGTCATTCTGATATAGTACCTTTCAGAGAAAGTACCGACGAAAAACACTGTCTCTTCTATATTTTTTAAATAACTAGCTGGCGTCTATAGACTTGACTCGAATGACACCGACAGAGATCTAATCTGCAGGGGGAGGGATTTGCAGGTAAGTATCTCCTCCATCATCCCCTTGTTAATTAAGCCCTATATTTGGAGGTATATAAATCTATAATATATAAGGTATCAGGGGTATATAATGAAAATTCAACCATTTTTAGGCATACGTTTTGATTGTATACCCCTGGTATATAAAAGGTCGTGATTATTCCGTATTTAGCCATTATGTATTTTGTATGGACTTTGTAATGAAATATAAATTATTGAAGCAACTTGTTTACATTTTTTATTATATATTTTAGGTTATTTATATAAAATCTTTCATTTTTTTACACACGAATAAGTAATAATAAGTAAAGGCAATTTTATTAACACGTTAAGCGCCACGAGGGACACCATGTGCCAGAACTCAAATTTGTCCATGGGCCATATCAAATTTTATATTTTGTCAAAAACTTAAAACATTGTTTTATGTTCTTATTTTATAGAACTATAGTTATAAATTGATGGCGTTTAATGTGTTAACAATTTTTGCAAATACAGGTAAGTTATTTATTTTTTTATATGACTTATGTTAATTTTAATCGAAGAATATCAAAAACAATGAAAACGGTCCCTCGACTGATGAAATTTCACTAAATATTTCCTCAACTTGAGAATTTAATTCTGTAACAAAAGAAAATCTTTATTAATACGCGAATCAAACACTTTTTATAGTCAGTAAGCTACAATCGTTAACATTTTGTAACGAAACGTGGAACAAAAACCAATGCAGTTTATAATGGATTATTCCCAACTGTCACCCCACTCTCCACGTGGTAACAGATGATAAAAAAAAGTCGTACGTCCCACCTTTTAGTCCCACTGTCACCAGTAAGGTGACAGATGGAATCGTTACGTAATAAAATAAATTTCAACAGTCCCCTCGTCGCAAAACGTGGTGACGGTTGGGAATAATCCCTTGAGGCGGAGATTTTCTCGTTGCAATGAACAAGGCAATTATCTTAAGTGGGACACTGCGAGTGTACATACAAGTTTCAGATACGTGTAAACAATTACTTTCAAAGGAATTAACTACACTTACATGTAACCAATAAGTAACATTGGGAGTACAACGGGATAGGCGTCAAAATAGCCTGAAGCGTGACCTAAGTGTACGGCTAGAGTGTGTTTACGCTTTATTATATTAGTATTGATTTCTATGGACTTTTAGTTGTTAATTTAAAATCTTACCGTCGAACATTGATTCGAGTTCACTAAATATGTCGTCGGGATCTGTAAATATTAATTTAGCTATTAGTTAATAAAAAATGTAAGAGATTTCACTTATTTGAAACGTTTAATTTTGAATTAACGCCATCTCTTTTTGAACATACGCAACTTTTTCATCTCAAAATTAACGGAACGGTTTAATGTTTTGAGCAGTTGCCACTAGATGGCACTAAAATTATTTTTGAAATTAAATTGTCCTATATAGTTTTTGCTTTTAAAAATAAAAATGAAATACATTGTCTAGTTACTAAGTTTAACTGGCAATATTAAATACACTCACCTATAAAGTCGCTCGTTAACTCGTTCAGAATGTTGGCGAGAGCGACTGGGAATAAAATTAAACAAAAATATTACTAATTTCAAACATTTATTACAGTATTTACGACATACATTCAGACC